GGGGGGGGGGGTGTGACAGGAAAGGGCAACAGGATATGGGGAAAGACAGTGATATATTTGATAAGGGCTTGTGTTATGCAGATGAAACTCACTGAATCATACAGTTAACACCTGGGCATGTCATATGGATATTTTGCCTCAAGGGAAAAGAGAAACAAACTTGTTAATAAATACTGAACTCTAGTTAATGATGTGCATGCTGAAGTGTACAGAGGGAAGTGTACCATTGCAACTGATTTTGAAATGGATCTGTGGTAAAGCAAATAGAGTAAATGTTATAGAATACAGGTGGTGAGTATATGGGTGCTACCTGTACAATTCTTCCAACTTTGCTGTATATTTAAAACTTTTTATAATAAAATATTGGGGGGCAGAGAATCTAAGTCTGATCGTGTTATTCCTCTGCTCAGACCCTCCCTCCCTCCCTCCCTGGACTCCAACCACACTGATCTCATTTTCAGGCATGGGACCCCTCAGGACCTTTGCACTGGCTGTTCCATCTGCCCAAAATGCTCTTCCCCCTATATCTGCATGGCTCTCTCCCTTACCTCCTTCAAGCTTTTCTTCAAATATCTCTTAGTAAGGCCTCCCCTGTGCCCCCAATTTAAAATTGCAATCCACTCTTTCCCTGTCTTCCTTACTCTATTTTTTAAAGAGCAGTTATAACTCCTACATATGATATAACTTCTTGAAAGTAAGCTCCATGAAGGCAGGAATTTTTTTCTATTTTGTTTATGCTGTATTGCCAGGGCCTAGAAAAGTACCCAGCAGACAGTAAGCTCACAATACATGTTGCTATGAATAAAGGAATTCCCCCCCTCATGGAGCTCACAGTCTGGTGCCAAAGTTATTGACCATCACAGGGCAATAACTAGTGCTCCATGAAATGGCAGAGGAGGGGGCGAGGGGCATGAAAGGAAAGAAGACTCTATCAGGAAGCAGAGGTTTGAAAAACAAGAAGGCATCTGCCAGATGAAGAGGGGATGAGAGGGACACTCCCAGCAGAGCAAATAGCGTGAGCAAAGCCCTAGAGGTGAAAAGTAGCGAGTACACTTGGCTGCGATTATGAGCAGTTCCAAGGGTTGCTGTGCAGGGTGGAAGTGTCAGAGTGTGGGCTCCCCGTCCTGTAGGTAATGAGAACTGGAGGGCTGCACAGACCTGGGCTAAAGGACAGGTGCCCCGGGGCCTGGGGGCTGGGACCAGGCAAAGGACAGGAATCAGGGGGACTCAAGCTTTAGCCTTTCACGGCCGCTCAGAATGGACTCCTCCCCAGTCTCACTGACAGGCAAGTTTCTGGCCTCTATCCCTAAACCCTAGTATCCTCATCTATAAAAATGGGGTAATAGGAAAAACAGCTGCCATTTATGGAGCACTTACTATGTGCCAAGCCAAGGACTCTCTCCATGTATTGCCTCATTTAATCCTCACAATAGTCTCACCGGGTGAATGTTACTATTATTCCCATTTTACAGATGAGAAAACTGAGGCACAGAGATGTTAAGTCACTTGTTCAAGGTAACACAGTGAATGAATGGAGACGCTGAGATTCAAACCCAGAGCCTGAATTCTGGGCCATAATACTGTACTACTGACCCATACAAGGCACTTTACAGTTGATAGAATAATCTCATCACCTCATGGGGTGGTTGAGGGAAGTAATGAAATGACCCCACACACCCAGAAAATGGCTGAGATGATTAGCGAGGCCCTCCAAAGGTGTCCATGTCCTAATCCCAGAACCTGTGACTATGTTACTTTATCCACCAAATGAGATTTTGCAGATATGATTAAATTAAGGACCTTGAGATGGGAGGATTACCCTGAATCATTCAGGTGGGCCCAATGTCATCAAAGGGCTCTGCTTAGAAAAGAAAGGCAGGAGAGACAGAAAAGGAGACATGACAATGGAAGCAGAGAGAAGGAGTTTGGAAGACGCTATGCTGCTAGGTTTGAAGATAAAAGGAGGGGCCACAAGCCAAAAAATGCAGGTGGTCTGCAGAAATGGGAAAAGGCAGGGAAACAGATTCTCCCCTACAAGCCGCTGGAGGGAACCAGCCCTGCAGACACCTTGACTTTAGCCCATTAAGACTTATTTTGGCCCTGGCCAGTGTTGCTCAGTGGTTAGAGCAGCAGCCCATGCACCTAAAGGTACTGGGTTTGATTTCCAATCAAGGGCATGTACCTGGGTTGCAGGTTCCTTCCCCAGCCTGATGGGGGCATGTGAGGGGGGCAACCAATCCATGTGTCTCTCACATCAATGTTTCTCTCTCTCCCCATCCCTCACTCCCTTCCACAAGCAATGGAAAAATATCCTTGGGGGAGGATTAACAAAAAAAGACTTATTTTGGACTTCTGACCGACAGACAGCAAGATAGTAAATTTGTGTTGTATTAAGTCACTAAATTTGTGGTATTTTGTTACAGCAACAACAGAAAATGAATATATCACATCACTGCACACCTGGCTCCCCTGGCTAGCCCTGGCTCAACTCCTACTACTGCAGCTGCAATCACGAATCACCCTTACATTTTTTAATAGTTCTTTCAAGTTCCAATTTGGTTCTCTCTTGTTGTCCCGTACACCAAAATGTTTGATTCCAGGTCAGAGCACTTACCTAGGTTGCGGGTTCAACCCCCAGTTGGGGCACGTATGGGAGACAACCGACCAATGTTTCTCTCACACTGAAGTTTCTCTCTCTCTCTCTCTTCCTTCCTCTCTCTAAAATCAATGAACATATCCAAAGGTGAGGATTAAAAATTAAAAAATTAAATAAATAAAAAGTAGGGCTAATGCACCTGACCCTAACTCTCTTGCAGGCACAGAGTGAATGAAGATGCTTTATATTATTTGAAGGTTCCCATAAACCATTGGGACAGATGAGGCCTAGTTATTGCTCAAATGAACAAACCAAGGCTCAGACAAGGGAAATGGCCCATGCAGAGCCACACAGAGCCAGAACTTGAACCAGGACGTCTGACTTCAATTCTAGCACACTGAGGTTCATGTCTCAAGAGCTCAGCTCATGTGTCACCTCCTCAGAGAAGCCTTCCTGGATAGCCTCAGCCCATGCATTTATTCATTCACCAAACAGTTGCTATGACAGCTCTATGCCAGTGTGGTACTAAATAAGACTGGGAACCAAGTTCTGGCCTCAGGAACCCACAGCCTAGTAAACAAGACACAAACCAACCATCCCAAACAGCCTGATAAATGCTGAGACAAAGGGAAGGAAGCACAGAGGGTTGTGGGTACCCAAAAGAGGGGAACTGACTATGCCTGAAGACCAAGGAAGACTTTCTGGAGGAGGTAGTGATTGAGCTGGGACAAGTAAGACTCAACCCAAAGTGTAGGCAGGGGTTTCAGTGGAGGAATGACTAAGCAGAGGCAGGGAGGCACAATGCTGTAGCTTCCTGAGGGCAGAAAAGGGGTTGGGTCATCCCAAGCCCCAAAGTCCCTCTGGGCCTCCATGCTCCTGTGCATGAATGGGAATCGTGGGCCTAGTTGCCCAGAGCTTTGGTAATTGCTGTGCCCAGGTACGTGGATTCCCACAGGAGGGCTGAAGGTCAAGAAGGGTAAAAGGGGTACAGGGTAGAGTAGAGGGAGTGTCAGGGAGGTAGGGTCCTGCCCCAGGCCCCCATTCCATATCTGACTCATGGTGTGACTATGGGAAGATCCTCTTAGAGTTTCAAGTGACACCATCTGAGAAATGGAGCATGAGACAAAACTGGCTCCAAAGACCCTCCCCAGCCCTGACGGGGAAATGACATGACACAAAATTACAAAAGGGTCTTTATTTGTAAAAAATCAAAGGGGCCCCTGGGGCAACAGGAAAGACAGACCGGCTTCTCAGGGGTCAGGGGCATTTGGGCAGATGCGCTTGAGTGGGGGGGCGCCCTCCGAGTCCTCTGTGTCACCCTGGGCTGCCTCAGGGACAGGTGGCACTGGCTCAAAGACAGGGTAAGCTTCGGGGGCCTGGAGAGGAAGGGTGGACAGGCATAAGCTCCACCGAACCCAGGATTGCAGCCTCCTAGCCTCTGCCTTCTCCAAAGCCTCCACTCCACTCCCCTCCCGGACCCAGGAGTCTAGCCCAGGGCCAGGGACCCAGGCTGCAGATTACATAGGGAACCAGAAACCACAATACTGTTTGGGGAAAGAAGCTGATATTTGGTATTTCTGGGAAATGCATCAAGGTAGTCCTTGTGGGAAAAGTCAGAAGTTTGTGGGGAACTTGCTTAAGCTAATTGTATAATTTAGGATTTAATAAAATAAAATAAAAACTTGGAGGAGCACCATGATCTTTTCAGGCTTTTAATGGTCTTAAATTAGCCCTGACCCAGCCTGCAGGACTTTGTTTCTAAAACACCCTTTCCTTTTACATCCCAAAAGCCCAGCTCTAAGCCTTTAGCTATGTCTGAGGTCTGCTTTTCCCACCTGGACCTCAAGAGTACAGCCCCAAAGCCTTTGGCTGCCCCACAGTCCCATTCCCTCCAAGACCCGGGAGTCTAGCCTTCTGGCCTCTCTCACCTCAGCCTCCAGCAACTCTGGAACAGGTTCCTCCTTGGTCAGCATTGGGGGTTCATCGGTGCCGCCTGTAGTTATACCCCCGGGATCTGGAACGTCAAGGTAACAGAGTCCCTGAGCAGCTGCTCTGTGCCATAGCACAGACCAGGGGGAAACAAACACCAGTCACATAAGCCCCCAGGCTGTGGGAGCACTGAGGAGGGAGACGAGCATCTGGCTGCAACCCAGGAAAAAGACACGGAAAGGACATTTAGGTGGGATCTTGACAGGTGAGTAGGATTTGATCAGCGAGACAGATGGGGAGGTGGAGATTTTAGGCAGAGGGAACATACACTTAGAGAGCACAGATTCTGGGGCTGGGCTGCCTGGGTTCAAATCCTAACCTTGGGCTAGTGACTTAATTTCTCTGGGCCTCAGTTTTCTCATCTGTAAAATGTAGATAATTATAGTAGTTACCACATGAGCTTGCTGTAAGGATTAAATGAGATTACCCTTAGCACAGAGTCTGGCACATAGTTAAGTGCTCAATAAGTGCCAGTTATTGTTTTTATATTAGTAAAGGTCCAGAAGTACATGGCACAATTTAGACACAGTCATAGGCCCAAATCATGGTGTTCCTGAAAGGAAACAATGCGGTCAGCAGGGGATGGTTCACAAAGGGCCCAGAGTCCCAAGCTGAGGAGTCCGAAGCCATAGGGAGCCACTGAAGGCTTTGAGCAGGAAAATGACAAACTTGTGCTTTAGAAAAAGCTGCTCTGTCAGCTGTGTGGAGGTGACTGGAGGAACAGAGACCTACAAGGAGGCTGGAGTCGGGTGAGGGATGACAGAGCTTGGGGAAGGAGAGGAAGGTAGACGATGTTGGGAGGTGGAAGAGAAGCTGAGGAGGACTCATGCCCAAGACGCTGGCTCACTGGCTGTGTGAGCTGGGGCAATTTACTTAACTGCTCTGAGTTTCAGTTTCTCATCTATAAATGGTGATAATAATCCTCATAGAGTTGTGATGGAGATTAAATGAGATAAAATAAAACGTGTAAAAAGCTTAGAAGTGTGCCTGTCACACAGTAAGACTTGCTCAATAAGTATTAGTTGTTATTATCACTTCTTGACTCTTAGGATTAGCCCTGTTATTTATTTCTCAACAAATATTTATTGAGCACCTACTATGTGCCACATGTAGCAAACAAGATCAGTATGGACACAACATTCAGGAAGCTGACATGAGGTGGGAGTGGGCAAGAAAGACAGATACTAAAAGTTAAATTTACATGAAAATCCCAGACAGTGATAAGTTATCAATAGACCCAAAGAAATCAAGAGGAAGGAGATGGTCACTAGGTCAGTGACCTACCACAGGAGTCAGGAAGGCCTCCAAAGGAGGCAACAGAGGAGGGGGGGCAGGTACAGGGATAAACTGGTAGCCTCAACTTTGGAGAGGGCAAGACTCAGAAGGGAGGGCTCCTGTGAGGCACCTGGTCCTACCTCTCTCCTGGCCTAGCCGTGGAGGCTGAGCTTCCTCCGGGACCCCTTCGGGTGGTCCGGAAGGTGATGCAGGGCGGCTGGGCTGGGGGGTGCCACCGGGGCTGGGCTCAGTGCCCTTTTGCAGGGATCCTTCCGAATGGAAACTCTGGTTACTGTTCTCATCTGTGAGAGCAAAAGTTGAGAGGGTTGGGCCTGAGGTCCCCAGTCCCCTCCCTCCTTTAATCCCATAGTCCCCCCAAATCCCAGGACCCCTACATACCATTGAGATCAAGCAGGATGAGAGGGCCACCCCCTCGGGGGCTGGCACCCCTGCCCCGACGCTCCCGGCCTCTGGATCTCTCTGCCCCACCACCTGCCCTCCGTCGCTCCTGGGGATTAGAGGGTAAGGATCAGAGTTAGCGCTGGCAAAGCCCCCACTCTACACAAATAAGTAAACTGAAGCACAGAGAAGCAAAAGGCCCTGCATGAGGAGACAGAGGTGGTGCACACTGGGTTGACTTGAATTCTGGGGTCTGCAGCAGGAAAAAGGGAGAACGGGTGGAGTTGCCAATAATTGTTAACATGTGTCTGGGCTGCTGCATTTGAGGTCTCAGAGTGGGGACTGGAGGTGGAGGACAGGGTGGGGAGGGGCTTGCCTGAGGTTGCAGGGTCTGGTGTGGGGGAGCTTGCTCACCTCCTCTTGGGGGTCCACCACTGGTACCCACTTGAAGATACGAAGGGACGTGTCACCCACAGTCACCCAGCGCTTCTCCCTGTGGGAGAGTTGGGGGACTAGGTCAGAGAGGCCTGGGCTGAGACCCTCCCTCAGCAGCTGGACACATCTAGGGATACCTACAGAGGTGTGGGTGGTGCATAGGGTAGGGACGGTTTTGCTAACGGGACATAGTTAGAGGGAGAAAGAGAACCCTGCAGACCCCAGGGCATACAAGGGGGTCTCTAGTGAGAGTATGGCTTGGGGCCTTGGTTCGCAGACTCCTGGGGTATACACGGGGCACACGGCTTTGGGCCTGGCTTGGAATAGGGCATACTTTCGGGAGGAGTGTCAAAGCTTTAGGGGGCGGGGTATAAACGGGGGGTGCCGGCTCTGGGAGGGCACGGCTGGGGAACACACTTTGTAGACCCCAGGGTGTAGCCAGGAGAAGGGGGACAGAGCCCTGTAGTTCCAGGGCGCAGCTGGGACACACCTAACACCTGGGGCCACAGCTGGCGAAGGGAGGGTAGACGCCTTTGGAAAAGGAATGGCCCTGCCAGTCCCGTCCCTGGCCACGGGACAGCGCTCACCATCTCCGGACCTTCTCGATGGTCGCCATCACCTTCTTGATGTCATCCTTGGCCCGGCTCCGGGTCTCAGCCCGCACGGTCCGGCCGGCCATGCTGGCGGGGCTGGGGCCGGGGCCGAGCCC